TGTTTTATTCTTTTTCCCTTTATAAATAAAGGATTCTGCGGGTAAGGTTTTATTGCAAGAAGTACAGTAACCCATATGAAAAAAGACTTTGTGATTGTAAAAGATCGTTATAATTCAAGAGAATTAATTTAATTCTATTAATTTATTATACATAAGCAAAATTTATAATAAAATGATTTCGCTTAGTAATAATATTGATACGATCAATGATCGGATCAAAGATCGATCAGAGGGTCGGAATCACATGTGCGGACAATTCCCCCTACATGCTGTGTCTTTCATGAATGTCTGCCTATGAGCTCTTACCAGGGTCGGGTTGACTCGTATGGGTCAGCTTCTTGACGGGTCACGAGTCAAAAATTGACGGGTCACGGGCCAAAAATTGGCCCGACCCGGTTAAACGGGTCATGGATAATATAGATGAAATCTAGTGATCTAGTATTTCTGACATAGAAATGGATGGATTCAGATTACGAGCAAGGTTGAGAAAAGCTCACCGACAGCTCATTCACCAACAAGTTTTTAACTTTAATAAGCCTGACCCTAACGACAATGGTCAGAATTCCTTTGTGTAACGAGTGTCGGTGACATAAAATGTCAATGAAATAAACTTATGAACTAAATAAGAGTCATTACGTCAACTTTTTGTAAGTGTTAATTCTAAATCTTTATGGTTTTCCATAGACCACTAACCTGGGTCATGATCAAGGTCAATATCTCACCCGTCCGGGTCATTATTTTCTGATCCGGGTAATAGTTCTACTTTTAGAACCAAATACTAACATGCATTCATTAGCGGTTGTATTTGAGTTAATCCAAATATTTTAAATTCACTATCTTTGTGACTATATAACTTTTAAACTTAATTTACAATTAAATTTATTATGCAGTAAATAATTAAAGAAAAGCATTCTTACTTCTTTAGTAATTTAATTAGTTACAATGGTTTAAAATCCACTATAAACATGGAATACATGAATGAACACATCCTTTATCTTTGGACGAAATTTTTCGCATGCTATCTAACCAGATTTCCGATAATCGCTGTATTAGTCTCATAATTTAGTGTAGAGGATTCTTATTGGTAAAAATTTTGCCAATCAATTAGTTCTGTATTAATAGTCATAAATAGGACCAATTTATTTTTTGAGTGGTCTAGAGCTTGAGTTGTGGGGAAAAAAAAACCTGTAAGTGAATATTTAAATTTTCACTGTAGCTAGTTTACCAAAAGAATTGTGGTATTACATAATTTTATCATGTCATGTTTCGACAGAATGTCTAATATAGCTAGTACCTATATGTTATTAACTTGATAAGGTGCTACAGTATATACAGTATATATACTGTATATATATCTCTTTTAAATATAATAGTTAAAAATTTTAAATTAGCTTATATATTAAATATATCTTGATATACAGTATATTTTTCTGTATATACACTAAAGAAAAAATATAAATAACTAATTATTGAAAAATTAAAAATATAAATAACTAATTATTGAAAAATTAAAAATATAACTAATTATTGAAAAATTAAAAATAACAAAACTTTCGTATTTTATAGACAGTAAGATTTAAAAAAAAGTGAAATTTTAAAACAAATTTTTATTTTTATTTTTAGCAAACTTGAATAATGATATATATATATATATTATATAAGCTATTATATTTTTGTATTACTTAATTTAGTACAATAGCTAAACAGATACCTATTAATAATATAAATCAATAATAATACCATGTAGTCGCGAAATAACGCGCCCCTGCGCGTTATTACAAAGGGTTGATAATAATGTACTGTATGTACATATACAAATCCGCTAACACATGTTATACAAAGTGGGCGTTATTTCAGGACGCAAATGGGCGTTATTTTGAACCACAATATGATTCCTTTAAAGGGTGCAATTTCCGAAATAATAATTTTGTCCCGAATCGAGCCCGTGGGCGTTATTTCGCGACTTTATAAATTTTTTTTAGTGAAAATAATAGCTACGTACTGTACGTAAAAGTAAGCTTTTAATTATTACAGTATTACGTATTACGTATTCATTTAGAATATTAAATTTCTGATAATTAATAGTATAAGTGGAGTTTATAAATCAAATAAAAACTAAATTTACATTATAACACAGTATATACTATATAATTATTGTTGCAAATAACATTGAAATTTATTTTATGTAAATGATCTATACCAATTTTTTTTTTAATATATACATGCAAACTTATTGATTTTGAGTACTAACCAGTAGTACAAATTGTGAATCTTATCCAGTAATAGCATCCTTAATTGTGGTAAAAACTAAAAACAAATCTAACCCAAGAATAATAATACTAACTATAATTGAAATTATAGCAAGTGGAATAGAATTCGAAAAGTCTATAATATCATTGTCATTATCGTGGTTAATACTAATATCATAAGGTTTAAGTGCATTAATTCCATTAGAAACGTTAGAACTCGGAGTCTGAGAAGGTGTTAAAGGCTGAGAGGATGAAGTTGTGGAAATTATACTATCG